CTCTAAATCTTTAAGGCAAATATCACCGTTGCTAACTCTATGTCGTGAGTAGGGTAATTCCTCTCATGTGTTTTCAACTGTGGCGAGCCATAGGCTACTACATTCCCCTTTTGCATTAAAACAAAACCTAAGCCTTCCTGCGAGGCATCACAATATACTGAATAACCCAAATCCCTTCCCGGAATAATCAAAACTGGAGCAGTGGTCAGCCTAACTTTAAGTTCTTGGAATGATTTCTTACAGGTCTCACTCCACACGAATTTGATCCATTTCCTCGTCAGCTTAGTCAATGGCGAGGCTAGTCTACAGAAATCTTTCACAAATCGGCAGTAATACCCGGCTAAACCCAAGAAACTACGGATCTCGAAAGCATTCTTAGGTTGTTCCCAGTCTTGAACTGCCTCTATCTTGGATGAGTCTACAGTTATCTCTTTCTTGGATACCACATGGCCTAAGAATTTAACCTCTTTTAGCCAGAACTCACATTTTTCAAATTTAGCATACAACTTATGGGTTCTAAGCAACTCAAGCACTACACGTAGGTGTTCTTCATCGGAAGGCGAATAAATCAAGATGTCGTCCACAAAGACAACCACAAAGTGGTCTAGAAACTCACGGAAGATCCGATTCATCAAATCCATAAACACTGCCGGAGCATTAGTCAGCCGAAAAGGCATCAGTAGGAACTTATAATGACCATACCGCATACGGAATGCCGTCTTCGGGATATCCTTCTCTCTTACCCTCAACTGATGATAACCCGATCAGGTCTATCTTAGAGAAGCAACAAGACCCTTTTAACTGATCAAACAGATCATCTATACGAAGCATTGGGTACTTGTTCTTAACAGTTATCCGGTTCAACTTTCGATAATCAATATAGAGTCGTAATGCTCCATCTTTCTTTTTAGTAAAGAGAGCTGGTGCTCCCCAAGGCGAAGTACTAGGGCAGATAAAACTCTTATCTAACAATTCCTGGAGTTGAACATTCAACTCACTCAACTCAGTAGATGCAAACCGATATGGTGCCATAGAAATCGATGTCGTGCCAAACACTAAATCAATAGAGAATTCGATCTCCCGGTGAGGTGATAAACTAGTAAGGTCCTCGGGAAAGATATCTAAATATTCACAAACCACTCTTGGCAACTCAACCCGGGCTTTATCGCATTCACTACTCAAGAAATCGACAAGAAGACAACTAAGTTCGCTCTGCCCATGCGGATCATACACCGGTGATAGGACTCTACCAACCCGGTCCCCCAAGAAATGAAAATAATCCCTGTTCAAGGTACATACTGTAACCCTCTGACGGTGGCAATCTATAATAGCTCGATATGAAGACAACCAATCCATACCCAATATAACATTGAAACAAGACAAACCATCAATACAAATGAAAAGGGAAGTCGAAGATCAGTAATCTCTATATCACAACCCCGACACCCATGCTTCAGAACCACCTCACCCCCAATAGATGACACCACACAAATAGGAGATGATAACTAGGCCAACTCTAACCCCAAAACCGATACAAATGTAGACGAGATAAATGAATGGGATGCACCCGTATCAATCAACACATTAGTGATAGAATTGCAAAACAAGAAAGTACCTCTCATTACAGAAGGCGTTGGTACAAGATCTGGTGCAGTAACAACATACACACGTCCAGTAGGTCTCTGCTCAACCTATTCACCCTTCGGAGCATAAGCCTGATGCACTGGCATAGCCGAAGAGGCTCCTTGATTAGCTCTCGAGGCCTGTGCTAACTGTGCAGGCTGATGACTCTATGTCTGCCTTAAACCAGACGCACCAGATGTGCCACACAACTGTGGGCAAAATCTCTTCAGGTGCCTTGTCTACCCACACTGATAACAAGTGGGCGGTTGCCCTCTACCCTGATTTCGGCCTTGAGAACGAGCCAAAAACGATGCAGACCGTTGCCCTCCTCTCCTCTGCAGGCAAGCTGGAGACTTGTGGCCCAACTGACCACATTTGTAACAAGTAAAATCTCCCTGACAACCCCTTCCAGAACCCAAACTTGGTACTGGAAAGGTGGACCTCGACTGAGCTTCCTGGAACGACTAAGGGTTAGAAACCCTCTGCCTCTTCCCATTCGCCTGACTATCCTGACTCATCCTCGAGACCCTCATCCTCTCCTCCCCTGCCTGCGTAATGGTCTCAAGATGGGTTGCCGCCTTCATAAGGCACCCATAGTCTCTAATCATGGATCCGACCACTTCAAACATGAGCCCGGTCCTTAGCCTCTTCTCGAATTCCAGACAACAGCGTTCCTCAGTTGCCACAAGTTCTAATGAAAACCTCGACAAACTGGAGAATGTGGCCTTAAACTCGGCCACTGGTGTGTTCAACTGCACTAGCTTGGAGAACTGGTTCCATAACTTCTCCCTAAGAGTGGGAAGCAAAAACTTATCCTTGAAGGCGTCGACAAAAGCCTCCAAAGTCCTTCCAATGCGCCATCGCGCATACTTCCACCATTGACCCGCGTCTCTCTTCAGTTAGAAGGACACTAAGGTTACTCTCAAAACCCTATCTTCGATGCTGAGCATCTCTAAAGTCTTTACCATCTGCTCTAACCACTCATTCGCTTTTAGTGGTTTCTTAGGATTGCCCAAAACTCAGCTGGGTTCGACCAGAAAAACTCCATCTTCAGAAAAGATGGCCCTACCTCAAGAACCTAGGCCTATACTTGATTCTCAGCTCTGAGAATGTCCATAGATTCTCGCAAAGCTCCTGTCATTTCAGGGGCTAAGGCGTCCATGCCCTGTTTCTTCTCTCAGTAACAAGTAGTCGGTTAAAAAAATTTGGATAAGCTTGTTCATGATTATACGTGAGAAAATCAATAGTTGGATAAGTCTGCTGTTGTTGGCGTGGTGGATGATTAAAGGTTTCACCATGTTCTAGTCTGGCTCTTTTTGTTCTCGACATGACTTATGAAGGTAAGAAAAATGTATGGAAGGTTTCGGCTGTTACTGTGAGGAAATAGTGTACAATAGGTAAGCAACAAATAACCAAAGCTCAGCCTCAGGTTAAGTCTTACTAGAAGCTGGGAACAGGCACAGCTGGTTAACCGGTTGGATGATCCACCAGTTGACTGCCCGGTCAACCAGTTTGGTGAACTTTTCCGGTGTTACTTATGTAGCTTTGAAATTGTGAAGCTCTGGTGTTGTGAACCTCTGATTGAAGCTTTTTCTCTCTTTTTTTTACACAGATATGAGTTGTAAATATATACACTAAAATTTTTAAATTAATTGACATAGGTGGTGGACTAAATTTGTGAAATTAATTGAGGTAGGTGGTGGATGAGGTGGTTATATGTTTCAAGTCTTTGATCTAGTTGTATTGATACTATTTGAATAATGAAGGTAAATGAAGATGGTGAAGAAGTTGCTGAAAGTTATGAAGCAAAGTTGTTGGATGTGCTCACTAATATAAAGCCAAACAAATGGCCAGAAAATCTGTAGATGAGGTTGTTTTTTTTTTAAAAAAATAAAATAAAAAAAATCAGAAACTGACCAACTGAGGTTTTGCAAAGGAGTGATGGCTCTGCAAAACATAAGTGAAATTACGATGTTGCCCTTTTTATTTTTTACTAACATACCAATTTAACATTCCATAACAGATGGGCAATTTAGTCATTTCAATGCCAAACACATAAATCAACGGGTACAATAATATTGATGTTACAGAAGTTCACGGGTGAGACACAATAATAAAGGTGAGGACGGTACGGGTTCATGGATTTTCCACGAAAGTGATAAAATTTAACAAATGAAAAAATTTCAATAATATTGAATTATGTGCTGTAAATTGTGTAGATACTAATCAAATGATATTTTAATTTTTATTTGACTCCCAATTTATATAATATTGATAATTTTTGTTGCTATTTATTTGAAAATAACAAAATAATAACTAGCAAATGATTGATGACAATAATTATTAAAAATATAAAAATATTTGAACTTAAAAATATTGAAAAAAACATAATTCGAATCAAATATACAATCATAAGTTCGGTTTGATTAGTAATTCAATATTTATTGTGACTTTCAATTTATTTTGTTTATAATATTTTCAATACAAAAATTTATATTTTCAAATTTTTCTTAATAATTAATTTCTTGAGTTGAATTTGAAATTTTTTGGGTATGACTACTATTTTTTTTGTTAATCATTAATTTTTTCAATTGAATTTTAAAAAGAGCTTAGTTAACAGTAATTTTTTTTTGTTAATAATTAATTTTTTGAATTAAATTTTAAAAAGAGTTTGGTTATGACGGTTTAAGTTGTGTGTTTGATTTTGAGTTATAATTTTTTGAATTAAGTTTTGAAAACTCTCTTCAAAACTCATAACTAAACAAAATTTTTTATTTCATATGTAACATCAATATTTTAAAACTTAATTCCATACTCAATTCAAAACTCAATTCAACACTTTATTAAAAAATCGTAACTAAACAAATTTTTTACATTCAAATCATAATTCTAAAACTCATAAACTCAAAATATAATTTTATTCTCAAATCATATTTAAAAAACTCTACCAAATAATAATTACAATTTTCATTTATTTTTATTTTCTCATACATACACTTATTTCTCATTTCACATTTTAAACGAGTTGCTCTGTGAGCCACGATGAAACACGTGGCAAGCTTATCTCGTTCAAGTCGAAGGAAATGGGGATGACTTTTTGGCTAATTACGAAAAGATGTGCAAAAAATAGAGAGAAAAGAGAATCTTTGACTTTTTGGTATGGGTTGTTGGCTTTTTACTAGTTTAGTAACTTTTTGACTAATTAGCTAAAATAGCCTCTTGCCAAACGAGGCCTTATTTCTCATTTCACATTTTAAACGAGTTGCTCTGTGAGCCACGATGAAACACGTGGCAAGCTTATCTCGTTCAAGTCGAAGGAAATGGAGAATCTTCTCACATAAAAATCACGAGAGCCGTCGATCTTTGCCAACCCCTATTAACAGGGCTCAACGTCTCATCTACGGCCAGGCACGTCTGACTTGATTTTTTCGCAACTCATTCATTGACAGCCGTTGGATCGTTCTGGAAAATTAATAAATCACCCCTCGTTCTCAGTCCCCATATACATTTTCATTTTCTTGTACAGATTTTTTCATTTTCTTGTACAGATTCTCTCTCACCGTGAAATTCCATTACCCCCTTTTCGTTAGATCTCTTCTCCTTGATTTCTCAGCTTTGAATTCGTTCGACGATCTGCGTTTTGATTATGGATTCGAGTGTTTTCGTTGAGCGATTCGCTTCCGATCTTCGATTCAGAGATATGTGGTTCAAGACTCATCCCTTCTTCGGCCATGGGTGAATTGACTGGAAATCGAAAGATCCATCGAGGTACGTAGTAGATTTGTTGTTAATAGATTAATATCTTGTTCTTCATCCCCATTTTTGCACGTAATTAAGTATTCTCCTCCATTTCTTGAAGGCTCTTAATGTTTGTTCTGAACCATTAGTGCTCGGGCTTTGTTCACCTGGTTCGATGCGAAACCTTGCTGTCTTTCTGAAATTCTTGAGGTGTGTATTTGCAGCCTTTGACAATTTTGTATGTATTGTAATTCTTGGTTTCAGATCTATTAATTTTTCAACCTTTTGTGTTCATTTTCAGATCTAAAACGCTTGGTTAGATCGGTGCAATCAATTCAGATATCGTGATTCTTTATGGATTCAGATCGTATTTTGATATGAAGCTGTGAAGGATTGCTAAAGTGTTTCTTTATGCTTTTTTGATGTGCTTTCTTTTGTCATCTTCTTGGTATAATAAAGAAGATAGTTTGTTTGTGTGTGTGTGTGTGTGTGTGTTTCGGTGTGTACCAGAGGGGTATAGCCTAGGGTAACAAAAAAATGTGAGATGTGTAATGTTCTACTGGTTGTCAATCGACCTTTGCCATGTCAGGTGCGCTTGCTTGGCAGGTCAAAAAAGCCCTAATAAAAAGTTTGTTTTTTGTGTTTGAGGGGGAGATGGTACGGGGTTTTGCCCGGTTCTCCCCTTCTTGTGTGTTGCGTCTTTTTGGTTTTTGTTGGTTTTTTCTTGATTTTGTCCACCCCAATTCTCTCTCCAAACCATTTAGTTGTTCATCGTGTCTTTATTTGTCTCTCGAATGGATGATTTTACATCGATTCGAAACAAGTAGGGACATCAACACGCCAACTATTTGTATTCATCAAGCAAGCAAGCAAACACAAGGATGGGATTAGCACGTCATGACTATTCAGTCCAAGAGGTACGAACAAACAATTTCCTTTAATTTATTTTGGCACTAATTATTTGCATTTTGAGCATTTTAATGAGGGAAAATTATGCATCAATAAATTATTACAGATTTATGAAAGTTTATATTTTCAATTATTAATATTTATGAAGTTAAGTTTTTAATTCGAGCATGTCTGAATCTACCATCTCATTAGCCTCATTTCAAAATTTTCAAAATTTAATCAATAAGTAAATTTAGGCCAAGTTTGGGAAGACTAAATAAGTGTACTTTTTGACTTTTTATGAAATATGTGTTGGATTTAGATTGGGTTTGAAGTGATATGTTAGAGAGCTGATGTGACTTAAATAAGATGATATGACTTAAATAGTATAGTGATTTTTTGACTTTTTGAATTTTTTTGAGGGTGCGGCCTTAATCTTTATTCTCAAAATTTAATCAACAAGTAAATTTCTGGCTACAAAATTCTTGATGGTTTACATTTTTCAATAATAAAATCCAAGTAACATCTAACATACGCCCAAAAAGAAAATTTTATAGACACCATATGCCAAATTATGATTTTGTGGTCTTTTGGTTACTTCCTATGTTATGACTTGGTCATGACTGGTGTTTATGACCAGTTGTGATTAGGAAAATGATATAGAAGCTTATTTTTTAGGCTTATTTTTTAGATGCAATGATGTATGGAAAGATGATTGGTGATGATTAGACACCACTATAGTGATTATTATTTTGTTGGTTATGACTTATAGTGATCATTATTTTGGTTGTAATCAGAAATGACTTTGGATATATTTTTATGTGGTGTTTGGGTGTGATATTATTTTTTAAGTTATGTTTGAAAATGATTTAGTTATGGCATTTATGGTAATCAATATAAAAAAATGTGCATATGGTAAGGCTCTGTATTCTAGAATGACCCCATCGTAAGTAACACTAATATTGTAGATGGTTCAAATGTCAAAGATTGTTGGTTCAGATATTGTGTAATTGTGCACATAATGTAATTTTACAGAGGTTTAGTTGTACTGTGATGATGTGCGTGGGTTGGTTTATATTTGCGTTTTTGGTTAGGGTTTGGGTTGGAATGTATGGTGGTTTGGAGGGTTGGTCCCTTATGCGTAATTGTAATTTAGTCAAAATGTCAATTGTAAACCAGTATGAAGCTCAAGGGTTGGTGGTGGTTGGATGTTGTGACTTTAAATCTCAGATGTGGGTTCATGGATTTTGTTTCAGCGTTGCAGCAGAGTAAAGATTCTTGATTCCTTTGTGCTAGCTGGAGAGAGGATGTATGTTAGCAGATCATTTGAAGGAATAAATTCATGCATTGCAAAAAAGAATTTTTTTGTCATCATGTTGGTGCGAGAGGAGAGTACTTTATTTTGTGGTGAACTCGTAATTTTTTGGCTATTTCTTTAATGCTGCGTAGTTTTTCTAGCTAATGTGACAGATTTTGAATTGCATTGGTTCTGATTTTGGGGTTGAGCATGTCTAATTCAAATCTTGATTCTTCATGTGTAGATTTTGTAGTGTTTAACTTTATTAATATTTTGGCAGATGTTGGAGTCCTTAATACTAGTATTTCTTGAGGGTATGTGTGAACTCTGTTATTGAAAATCGACACATTGATTGTAGAGAATAGGTTGTTTGTAGTTTCTTTTATACAGTAAACTAGCTGGACGGTTAGGGGATGTTTGAGATGTTTTAAATAAATGTATTTTTTGATTTTTTATGAAATATAGGTTGGGTTTGAAGTGATGTGGTAGAGAGGTGATATAATATAAGATGATATGACTTAAGTAGGATAGTGGCTTTTTAACTTTTTTAAAGGATGCCAAACTTAGCCTTATTAGTCCTGTTTGGTAGAGTTGTATGAAAGTGTTTATAGTTTATGCTTTAACAGCTTATAGCTTATAATTATGAACATAAATTGATTTTTGATTTATAAATTAAGCATCTCTTGTCTCACTCAAAGAATAAGCTGATTTCTAATTTACAAAAAGTTATAAGCTGCATTGTTAAATTAAACCAAACATATCAAAATAGTTTAAATTAAGCTGAAAGCTGAAATAAGCAGCTTGTAAGTTGTACCAAACAGGCACATCTATACTATATATTAAGCAAAAGGGGGGTTTTTAATCTCAAGTTTTGTGGGAGTTCCAATATCTCAATCTAATTTTTCTAATTTTTTCATTTAAATTTTTTTTTTTTAGTATTTATTAACTTCTTTCAATTTCTAAGTCTTATCTTGATAATAATAATTTAATGTATTAAAAATAAACATAAAAAAAATCTCTAAAATTCAACATATGAATTTCTTGAAAAGTCTCAATATATATAATTATTATCCCTCATAATAACATTTTAATGCATTAAGAATAAACATAAAAAAAAATTCTTAAAAAGTCTAATACATATATGATTATTATCAAAATATTAAATTTTAATATAATATAATAAAAAAAAAAGAAATTTAATTCCTTGAAAAGTCTAACACATGATTATTATCAAAATTTTAAACTTTCATATAATATAAAAAAAGAAAAAAAAGAAGGCATTTAAAAAGAAAAAGACATTTAAAAATTGTAATTTACATATATAAATAATTGTAAATATAATCTGTGAATAGCATGGGTGATATGTTAGTACTATATATTAAGTAAAAGGGGGTTTTTAAATCCTAAGGCCTGTGGGAATTTCAATATTCCAATCTGAATTTTTAAAATTTTTTATTTAAAAAAAAGTTCAGTATTTATTAATTTGGTCAAAATTTTCTAATCAGCATTTATTAACTTTTTTCAATCTATATGTCTTTTCACATGCTTGCATTTATTGATTTGGTCAAAAATTTCTGATTAGTATTTAAAATCACCTCATACAAATAATTATAGATATAATCCGTGTATAATTGTTGCAGTATTTTTTTCAACTTTTCCTATACAGGCCAAGTTTGGCTACAAAGAAAAAAGTGCACTTATTTCATCTTTTTATCTTTTTTGGGTCACATCAATCAACATCTCCTCTCTACTTCATACACTATGGTTAGTGATAAGATTGTTAAATTATTTTTATAAAAAGTTTTAAAAAATATAATTTATATATTAAAAAAATCTAAAATAAATATAAATATCTAAAATTATTTCGTGAATAGTATGGGGGGATAGGTTAGTTATATTACAAATTGTAATTTTTGCTATAATGAGTTTTATTTTTTATTTTACCCTAGGGTGTGGCCATTTGTTGTATTTACGTCATATGTTGTGGTGCTGATCCTCAGGTGGCTTGAGTTGGAAGTGTTATTGGGTCATCTAACGTGTGAGACAGATTTCTAGAGTTTGCTTCGGACACGCCATGTTTGCTAAAGTGTTGCAATGCCACAATAAGGTATTTCTTTACTCAGTAAGAATTAGGAATCTGTCACGTCTTTGTAACTGTTTTGGATAAAAATTTGCGCAGGTATTTGTGGAGAGAAAAAGGGGTAGGTAAAGGTAATACTAAAAAATTTTAGGTGCTACTTAATTGGTTTTCTTTTTCTTTTTATTTTTTGGGTAAAATTTTTTAAATATAATTTGAGAATAAAGTTATATTTTGAAATTATGATTTGAGTTTGAAAAATTTGTTTGGCTATAATTTTTAAAAAGAGTTTCGAGTTAAGTTTCGGAGGGGGTTTTGAGTTTTTAAAACTGAAAAAGTTTGATTTAAAAATTTACAATTCATAATTGAACACAATTTAAAATTTTATTCAAAACTCAAAAATTTTAAAAATTTTGAGAGTATTTTTTATTTACAATATAAAAATAGCAAGAGTACAAAAAAAATAAAAATAAAAAATTGAATATTGTTCTGGTTAATCGGCCGAACGTTCGGGGGATGATCGGCTTAACCAAAATTTTCTGTCTAGAAAGGAGTTTTCAAAATTCGGTGTGGAATTATAATTTGAAAACTCAAAACGAGCACCACACTCATGAAAGTGGGTGGAAATGTGTTTGGCAAACATAACCAAAAAGAGTCTTTGTTTCTCTACACGAGTTTTTCTACAAAATATAAATCTAAACAAACTTCAATGCTGTCTGAAGCCTTGTTTGGCAACCTTCCCTTTTAGTCAAAAAGTTATTAAATTAGTCAAAAAGTCAACAACTCATACCAAAAAGTTAGATTCTCTTTTCTCTCTATTTTTTGTACATCTTTTCGTAAAAAATCAAAAAGTCATCCCAAACATATTCAGTGTGTTTGGTTTGAGTTTTTTGAATTAAATTTTTTGAAAGCGAGTTTTTTGGTTTTTGTGTTTTTTTGTTTTTAGTGAATGTTTTTAAAATTTTAAACATTAATTTGTAAAAAATATTTTTTTTTAAATTAATAAATACATAAAAATACAAAAAATGTATTGAATTTTTTATTTTGTATTTTTGGTATTTAGTGAATTTTTAAAAGGTTTCTCTCACAATTTTTTTACTTTTTAGGTATATTTATGTGAGGTATGTCTAAAAAATAAAAAAAAATTACTTAAAATATTAAAAAATTCAGTAAAAACAAAAGAATATGAAAAATAAGAAAGTAGAATTTTCTGAAAAGAGTTTTTGAAAAACTCTAACCAAGCATGCTTGTTAGTTTTTTTTAGCTCATATTTTAATCAAATAGTCAAAAAATTATTAAATTAGCTTGTTTCCCAAACGAGGCCTGAGTGCGTCTCCAATGATGCGTTAAAATTCTTATCAAATTTGAGTAAAAAAATTTTGGGGTTGGGGTTAGTAGTTTATTACTATTTTGAAATTGAGTTGAGAATTATCTAATTAATTTTATAGTTATGCTAATAAATCTTCAAGTTATTGTATAGCTAGCTGTAATGTTTCATGTTTTATAGTTATCTGTCTATTTATTTGAGTAATTTTCAAACTATAATTTTCTAGAGATCTACTGGAAGTTAATGATAATAGAAATTGATATCTTAATTTTTGATCTGTTAATTCTTGTATAAGCTCAGTACTGGTTCTGATTTTAATCCTAAGTTCTTCATCTAATGGCATAAAATTTTGATTTTTAAAATTCTTTTATGGATAATATTTCCTTAATATTTCTACTCGGGTGGCTCGCTCTGTATTCTAAAATTCTTTTTCTTTGGCAAAATTATTTTTAGACAATGTTTGTTTTTATTACATGTACTCTTACTTTGAAGCTAAACTTCGTTCAACATAGTATATTTTTATTTTTTATTTTTTACTTTTCCCTTTCTGCCTACAATTTGTCCTCGAACGCCTAACTACGGCTCATACGGGCTCTTTAGCTAAGGTCATTTAGTAATAAAATAGAAAATAACAGATACTACGAAGGTGCAAAGTATGTAATATTAATGAGCAAATAAGTATTCTATAAACTTAGTTTTTTCAAAAAAAAAAATAAAAATAAAATTTTAGAATAGAAGAGTTACCCTTTTGAAATATTTAAGGAAAAAGAGAGATTAATCAGATTTCATATTAATAAGTAGTATATTTACAAAGATTATGTTACAGACTTTGAAATTCTAGAAGACTTGGAACACTTAGGATTTTTGAGAGAAGTTGGAAATTTTTGCAAAGTGAAGTGAAGGGAGATTTTTCATTGCTTCTTCCTTTGGCATGAATGTCAATTTATACAACAAAAAGGAGGGTAAAAACAAAAACCTAAAACCTAGACTTAATAGCTAACTCAAATTGCCGGCTAAACTTTTCAAAAGACCTAGTCAAGCCTAGTAATAGGCTTTGCCAAAGTTTTTACATAAAGACAAAGACTTATGCATACAATTATATGCATATTTTTGACAGACTTTCTACGCAGATAAAAACAAGTAAAGGGTTTAATTAAGGGTTTAACTTCTAACCAATCATGGTAAATACCAGGCTTGGTTCCTTTAGCTACTACATAAAAAGAAAAGTCTGGTTCCTTTAGCTACTACATAAAAAGAAAAGTTTTTAGATAAAGGTTTATTTTGGCTTTTTGAAAAGTATATACTAAGAGAGTTTAAAGTTGACAGACGTTTAGCTGGGTGGTTATGGTTGTTCCAAAGGTTATTTGGAAGCCACTGTTGAACTGGGTCTATCTCGATTCTTGTTAATGATCTGAATTTGTTTCTGCCTTCATAAATGAAAAGGGCAAATCCCCAAAGTTTATGGTTTTGTTGTTCTCCATTATCTGTACAAAAATTAATCTGGTTATTTTCTTTTTTTAAATAAATCTTCCTACTTAGTTAATCTGTTAATTTATTATCACTCCCTTTAATATGTTCAAATTCTACTTTATATCATTGTCCTACTATATAATCTAAATTATATCTGTCAAAATCCCGACTTGCAATCAAATTTATTAGATATTTTTGTTGTCTGTATTCTGTTTATAAGCTTGTCTTTATCTGGTATATTATATTTATCATTTTCTGTATTGTCATTTAATCTTTTATAATTAATAACTATTCTAGCTTTTCCTCTTTTTATCTTTGCATGATTTCTAACCATAAATGCGGCGCTCCTATGTGGGCTATGACTGGGTCTAATTACTCTTAAACTAATAACTCCTTAATCTGTGCTCTAAATTTTTCTATGTCTGATGGCGTATGATCTATTTATGCTGATGTAATTTTATAATCTTTATTTTTTATATCACTTTATTTCTTTCCCAATATTTCATGGGCTGTTCATCTAAAATTTCTGTTGTTTCAGCTAATCTTATCATTTCATCTAAATCATTTTCTGTTTTTCTGTATACTGATTTTTTTCTTTAATTTTTCTATTTTTGCAAAAATTAATTCTAGGTTAACAATTTTTTTGAGATTCTTCTAGGTTTCAATAGTCTTCTTTTTCTTCAAAATCAAACTCTTCCAAATCCTCTAATTCATAACTTTCTATGTTTAAATTTTCTAAAGACGTATTTGCTAGCTCATCAGGTATATACTTTTGGGCTAGTTCGGGAAAAATATTTCTACTAGGAAATAAAAAACTAGTAGGGACAAAATCTACTTCTATGGTACCACCACGCTTCGCACGCAACTCTGATGAATGTGCAATGGTGCTAAGGGCATATGCTGTGGGTGTATGTATAGTTCGTTTGAAGAAACTTATGTTGTTTTGGCTGATGAACATGCCACCTTGTAGACTAAGGCTAAGTTTGACATCTTCAAAAAAAGTCAAAAAGTCACTATCCTATTTAAGTCGCATCATCTTATTTAAGTCATATCACCTCTCTATTACATCACTTCAAACCCAACTCATATTTTATAAAAAGTCAAAAAGTGCACTTATTTAGAACATCCCAAATAACCTTTAAGTATGAAGTTAAGTCTTAAGATAAAGGGATGGTTTTGTCTAGTATGTCCAATCTAAACTTGAGACAAAGGAAACCATGCTACATGTTGAGTACGAGAACCTATGTGATGAAAACTAATCTGTGTTCCGTTGATGCAATGTGTATATGTCTGTTTAGTGCCATCGCTATACTGACTAAAGTTGGGGTTGTTAAAACTGTGCTCCATCTTGGTGGAACTATGTGTTGTTCAATATATGATTTATTGGGTTCTGTATCTATCATGGCATCTATATAAAGGGTTTTTTTTGCAAATTTAATTACACACGAAATCTCAACTAAATTTGGCTTGGGTATGACGGTCATTGAATGGTAGATATGTATTATCTGACTGTTCATGGAAGTACTGACTAAAGGGTTGAGAATCAACTAGGTTGACTAATTCTAAAGAATTCATATATTCTTCAACAAGTTTATTTTTTAAAGGGTATTTAGTATGAAATTGTTCTAACTACTGTTTAAGTTGTTTATTTTCTGCTTCTAAACATTCTATGTCAAAATTAGCTTTAGTTTCTACCTCTCGTATTTGTAACTTAAGTTCTCTTACCTGTATTTCTAATTCTTTAATTATTAGATGTAATTCTCTGCTTTCTATATTACGATCTTCTAGCATCTCGTTGTTATTTCCTAATGTTATCTTGTGTGTTATGTTTAATTTTTCTAGACAGATCACACAATAGGTTATACTGCATAATAAACACTGAGCTCTCTTATCTTTAGCTGGAAACCAATTACAATAACTGCATCTAGTGGTATCAAATCCTAGTTCTATTTGAAAATTATGCTGACATTCAGTATCTGAATTGCATTCCATCATAAAGAATGTGTCATGAGAAGTAGTCATTTCTATTTCTTGATTAAGTTGTCCTAAAAGATTATCTATGTCTGTATCGCTTTCTGAACCACTATCTGAACTTATGGCTTCTATTTGATATTCGTAATCACTGACTATGCTGTAGACTTTTGAATCATCACTGTTTATGCTAACTATATCTTTTTCTAAATCTTCTATAATATGTAGTCTTTCTTTCTATTTATTAGTATTAGGCTTTTGTCTTTTTGGGCAGGTTTTTGCAAAATGGTTGGGTTCTCCACATATAAAGCAATTGCATTTTTACTATTAGGTTTTCTAACATATCGTTGTTTTCTTTGATCTTATTCTTTTTTTTGGTAGTCGCTTATAATTTATCCTATTAAAAGTTCACTCTTTCTAATGAATTTTTGTTTTTTTTCATGGTTTTCTATATTTTTTCTTCTAATATTTTTATTTTCTATATTTTCGATATATTTTTTCCTATTATATTTATCTTCATATTGTTAATTAGTATATTACGTTGTTACAGAAACCATAGTTTTGTTTTTTCAAATCTTTCTGTATTTCAACTTCTATACATTTTTCTCTGAGCTTATGAAATGTAAAAGCTATTTTAGGTCCTATTCTTAAAATTCCTATTATTTTTACTTCTACTGAGGCTATTTTTGCTGGTAAGTTTGCATAATAAATTGACCATTTATTTTCTATTTCTCTTCCTAGTTCTCTGGGTAACCTTCTAAAATATTTATTTCATATTTCTTCATCAAAGCTTTTTCCAGTTCTGGCTGCTATGGCTAAATATTCTTTGCTAAAAGATACAACATATTTCTAACTTCCTAATGTTATCTGATCTAACTCAATTAAAGTTATGCTTTGAGTATAATCATTTCTTCTAGAAGGGTCATATCCTATAAGTATTTCTTTTACAAAGCTAGCAAAATTTTATGGATTATCTCTTAGTCCTTTAAGCTGTCTAATTGTCTCCTCATATTTTCCTTTAAAAGTTAAATATATATTAGAAGTTGAATCTCCTAAAAATGTTTCCATATGTTCCCACATATCTGTTGATTCAAAGGGATTACTCATTCATGTTTTTACCGCATCTTTTTTTCCATTTTTCTATTACTTCTTGCCATGTCTGAGGGTCAAATCTAGCTAAGGTTAAAAGGGTTCCTTGGTTATTAGCTGACTGTAATTGTATACTTATATCTGGTTACCTACGCTTTTCATGAAATCTATAACTTTTATTCGGATCTATTTTACTACGCCCTGAATTAGCTAATGGTCTTCTTTTTATTGCATAATGCATTGGTTCTACTGGATCTTTTACCGTTGGTTGTGGTTTACTAGTTCCTGTGCTTTCTGTGTTCATGTAAAAAATATCTTCTAAGTTAGATTGTTTTGGTATTTTAAATATTTTGTTAGGATGTATTTTATCTTCTATGATATCGTCTATATATTCTGTATGAAATTCTTGATCTAAAAATGACACTTCTTTATATATTCGAAATATCTGGTATCTAATATTTTATTTATGTCGCTTAGGGTGACAATTTTCAAATCTATCTCATCAATATTATATATCTTATTTTGTAATATTATTTTTTTTCCTGTCATTACATAAAGCTGATTTATGTCATTACGATTATCCTGATTTTCTTTCCTATCTATACTATGAAATTCATCATTTTCAGATTTTTCTGGTGCTACATATGTATATTAAGTAAATCTTACTACATAGTTTCCATCTATTTTTTGATATAATAAGTTATCTTGAGGGGCTAATCTTTTTTGTCCTAGAAAATCTCATAAATTCCAATCTAGTACTGCATTATCTTTAGAATTAAATTTTTTAGTTGGTAGTGCCTTTATTCCTTTTGCGCCTAATATTTTAACTATCTAATAATTTGTAAGTCTATAATGAGTATTGTTTTCTGAGACTGCTAAGCCTAAAAATCCTGTGCAAACTAATAAATTTTTTTCTTCTTTTTTCATTTTGTATCTTCTACTTTTTATCCCTATTTTTATTTTTTTATGAGAGGTTGGTGTTGGTAATAAGAAATCTGGTGTAAAATAAACTATTCATCCTTTTGAGTTCATATCTAATTTATTACTGCCTAAAATACTTTATCCTATATCATTAAACCTATCATCGTAAAGACATACAAAAACTTTAGTTCCTAAATTTTCTCTGGTTAAAGCCTTAACTCTTATCACAACTAATCCTAAGAGAGTCATTTTTAGGTGTTCATTTACTGCATATTTATAACTTTCTCTATTTATTAAATTTAGTTCTATTTTTTCACCTTTATGAGTTACATTAATCATTTGTTCACCATAGTGTTTAAATAGATACTGTTTTTTATGTATTTTTCCTAGTTTATATATATATTTAGCTGGAATTAATTCTAACTTTTCCTTTTTCAAATTTTCTATTTGTTGTTCTACATCTATAAATTCTTCCATTTTAACATATTCATCCTTATTATGTTTTTTACTGCTATTTCCTTTTACTAGTTGTTTAAACATCTTTATTTTCTATAAGTTATACATGCAGGTTTCTTTGGTAATTTAAGCTTTTCGAAATATCTAGTTATATCTTCTTCGTTTATCTGAGATTGAGGTTTGTTTGCTTGTCCTTCTATTCCTTTAATTTTTTGAAGTATTAATAGATTTTCTAAACTGTGTAGTTGTTCTGCTAATTCTTCAAATTTTTCACACAATCTGACAAAAAATAAAATTTTTATATTATTTTGTCTTATTGTTATTTTATTTGACTGATAGCTACTGATTCCTTCTGGGTTATTATGAAAGTCTTTTGCTTGTTTTAAAATAATCTGATAGTTCTTATTAGCTTTTTTATCGCTACTCATAAACTAAGATCTTATTAGTTGTTCTGAAATTTCTAATTTCTGTTTTAGATTATCTTAAATTTGGTTGTTTTGTTTTATTTGTTTAGTTATTTGATTTATTTGATTATGAATTTTTTTAATTAGTGGTTTAAATTCTAACTCTATTTGCTTTGAACTGCTAATATTTGTAGTTGAAATTAGAGTTTCTATCTCTAGCTTAGTGGGAAATTTTTCTAAATTTAAATCTATTCGTTTTTGTAGGATAAAACTACACTGATCTTAGATATAATCTAATTTTTTTATCTTGATCGTTAATTATACTGCGAGTATTACGAAGATAGTTTATAGATGAAGTAAAAAGATTATTAATTTTATCTATGTCCTTTTTAATATTTTTTACAAAATTAATCTGGTAATCTATAATACTATTTATCTGAGGATTATGTTCACTATGGAGCTGATGTGTAAAAGTATTTTTAAAATTACAACGGAATTTATTTTTATCTATATTAAGACGATGGTTATGATTGTTGAGTTCTAAATTTAAATATTCTACTCTCTTCATACAAAAAATTAAATCATACTTTAAAATGATTAAAAGCTACTATAACATGAAATTTATAACTAAATTGTCTAAAAATAAAAACTACTCTATTTCCATAAGCAAAATGCATAAACTAACTTAAATCAGAATATATAGTCGTAGAGACAGATGCAAGTCAGTTAGGATGGGGAACAATCTTATTAGCTAAACCTAGTAAGTATGATAGTAAAAATGAGTGCATTTGTGGATATAATTCTGAAAAATTTAAAGAAAAATATGCTATCATGACCGGCTTAGATTTTGAGATATTAGGAATAGTATTTGCAATAAAAAAATTTAGATTATTCTTGCACAAGCCTTTTACAATCAGAACAGACTGTGAAGCTATAGATAGATTCCATAATGAACTTAATGAGCGCAGACTAAGTACCAGAAGATGGACAAAATTTTTAGATTGTATAGTAGGACAATGATATATAGTAGAATTTGAACATTTAAAAGAGAGTGATAATAAATTAATAGATTGGCTAAGTAGGAAGATTTATTTAAAAAAAGAAAATAACCAGGTTAATTTTTGTGCAGATAATGGAGAACAACAAAATCATGAACTTTGGGAGATTTGCCCTTTCCATTTATGAAGGCAGAAACAAATTCAGACTATTAACAGGAATTGAGATAGACTCAGTTTAACAGTGTCTTCTAGTTAACCTTTGGAACAACCATAACTACCCAGTTAAACGTCTGTCAACTTTAAACTCTCTTAGTGTATACTTTTTAAAAAGCCAGAATAAACCTTTGTCTAAAAGCTTTTCTTTTTATGTAGTAGCTAAAGGAACCAAGCCTGGTATTTACTATGATTGATTATAAGTTGAACCCTTAGTTAAAAACTTTTCCATACCTCAGATTAAATGATTTTATGATTTCGAGTCGGCTAGTACATATGCCTGTAGACAAATAAGAACCAATTACTTTATCAGTCAGATAACTAAAGATTATCTAGACACATTGGGCAAGATGCAGTCAACCATTCTTGCTATTAGTGGAGCTCTAGTTAGCCAGATAATTGAAAGCAGTAGTACTAACCTTCAGATAGATTCTCAAAATCCTCTCCAAATGTGCAGACATTGTGAAGGCCTTAACAGAAATTTCAAGAAAATCATGGATAAAGGCAAAAAGGTCAGTGAAGAGCTAGACCAGCTCCGAGACGAAGAAAAACAATTGAGAGCTACCATTCGAACCCTAACCAATCAGCTTAAAAAACTAACTCCAGAAAAAGCACCTACTTCATTTCTTGACCTAGAAACCAGACAACTCACCAGTGAGGAATTTGAACAATTGAGTGGTAGAATGTATTTCTTCAGCTATTCTATCATTCGATCTTTTTGTGAGAAAAATCAAGAAATAAAGGACCTTAAACCCTATATATACACCTTAGCCGAAGATAGCAGAAATAGTGAGCTAGTCACTATACAGTAGTTTCTTCAAGATCTCTCCATAGCAGGAGTTCACTGCCCTGGTATAGCTTATCAATAGACTTATCTCTATAAGGATGAAGAGCAGCCCTGCTTAGAAGAGGAAAGATGTATGGACAGGCCAGAATATTTTGATAGATGTCAGTGTAATTTAGATTTCAGCATCTGCCTTTGCCTTTGCCTTTGCCAGATAAATCTAGCAATGTTCGAGCCATTGGAGATAGAGATTAGGGGCAAACCGTGTTATCTAACAATTTCATAATTGTTAGATTACGGCTTTGTCTTTAGAATAATTTTCTTAGATCTAGATCAGACAGATAGTTTTGGAAATAAACTTGCTCATTCAGTACTTTGTGTAATAGAAGAGCATCATCCATATGTAGAAACATTAATTGATAGCAAGCTATCAGAATGTAAAGGAATAAGGTGCATCCCCGCCAAGCATAAAATGTACCTAAGAGGAACTTCAACATTTCCATGATACTCAGGACTTCTCAATCGAAGACCTTGGCCATGCAGAAAATTTTCACTTAGAGATCAGCTCAATAAATGGAGGAAATTTGCTAATAATCCTCTATTAGCGTATAATAGAAATTGTGGACATCTAGTCTGCGAAGATAGAAATCAGAAGATATACTGTAACCTAGCTATCCCAGGTTATCCCTTCAGCAAAGAAACATTCGTCGATGAAGTCAATATCCTAACTATCAGCATAGCGTCTCTCATGAGTCATCATTAATGGGAGAAAATGACCAAGATAACCAATAGGGAAATGGACCAGATATGGGGGATGATTTTTATGACCAGCTTTCAGCAGCAGATCTTGACGATCTCCCAGATAGAAGTATGGGTAAAAAAAAAAAAAAAGGTGCACGCCACATAATTAGACTCATTTTGGAAGTATTATAGTTTCTTGTAAATTTTTGACTTTTAGATATTTTTGTAAATTTTCTACAAAGGATCCACTTTGAGGATTCATCATCCAAGCGTCTACATCAATTATTGGCATTCTAGAAAAAAAAGATAAAGTTTGTAGAAGATAAAGCTTCTCTTCAGCAATCAGAGAAAAACACGCCAAGAAACGACAAATAGCTATTGTAAATATTTGTGTTTGTCAATAATAAGGCTTCTTCTTCACTTACTACTTTAATAAAGCAGATGACACCTACCCTGCTTTATTAAAGAAAAACTGTGAGAATCCTTACACGTGTCCTGTAATATATTATAGTGTCAAAATTTTATCTAAAAGGAAGGATTGAATGATGTGCGATTGGGCCCAAAGCAGTACCCGACATCATTATCCAAACCCTTTATTTGTTTTTATCTGCGTAGAAAGTCTGTCAAAAGTCTGTCTTTATGTAGAAACTTTGACAAAACCTATTACTAGACTTGACTAGGTCTTTTGAAAAGTTTGACATTTGTGGCATCGCCGAACAAAACCGATACAATCCTCCTCCATAGTAGACCAATAGTAACCTTGCCTGAGAATCTTCCAGGCTAACATTACCCTGTTTATGTGCGCTCTACACTCTCCCCCATGGATGACCTCCATTAGGTGCTTTGATTCTTCTACATCGACACACAACTTGTACATTCCCAGATGACCTCTCTTGTATAGTTTACCTCCGCATATGATAAATTGAACGGTCATCCACCATATTGCCCTCTTGTCTTTGGCATTTGCTCTGGTGGATAAACTTCATTTTCCAAGAAGTTTCAGATGTCATAATACCAAGGGTTTTGATCTTGAACCTCATCTATTGCGGTGATAGTCTCATAGGCCAGCGTATATCTCTGTTCAATAATGATCGGACGCATCCAAACTCCAAGCGAGATATATATCATGGAAGATAGAGTTGATAAGGCATCAGCGAACTTGTTGTTTTTTCTTAGTAGATGCGTGAATGTCAACTTCTCAAACCTAGGGGTCAGAACATCCAAGATTTGGTGATAAATCTTCATATTTTCTTCTTTAATAATAGATATAGGATTTCTTTAGGATGAGTACCCTAGAAAGAAATCATGAGGCTGCCACTGTTTATGAGAGGATTCCAACATTAAGGATTAGAGAAAGGCTACTATGTACACCCTTAAAAAGGAGTACATTATAAGAAAGCTACGATTTTTTGTGGTGATAGTTACAATTTTTTGTGGTATGTGTTATGACACTTTGTGATAAAAGACACAAAAGATGAAATTATTGTGTGCACTTCTAAATTATGAATGCCAAAGTTATACCACTTTATGGTAAAACTTATATTTTTTGTGATGAGAAGAGATCCATTTTGTGGTAACACTTCACAATTTTGATGGTGTTGTTATGAGGTGCAATACTTATATGACAAAGCTAAAAACATACAGGAATCAGAAGAGAGTATCTCACCTGCTTCAATTTCCCAGTAGTCTCAATCATGCGACCGTGAATCTCCATAAACGCCTGTTCACAAATTCAATCTTAGAATCAGAATATATAGTCGTAGAAACAGATGTAAAAGTTTTTTTTTTTGACGTCACCTGCTCTAACGGAGTGTTTTGGCTTTTCATCAAATCACTTGATGGTCGGGCGGATGACCCGTCAGTGTGAAATTTTTACAAAATTTTGTTTTGAGTTGGTTATAGGGGCCATTCGACAATGAACATTGATTTGATGAAAGACACAGCATTTTTAGTTTGGTGAAACATTTTTGATTATATTTTTGGTTTTTCCAATTTGATATTTGTTTTATGAAATCATTGGGAGTATAAAAAATTGTTACTTTTTTTTTTCCAAATTTGAATTTGGTTTTGGATTTGGTACACGGTTAGGGATGGCCTTATGAATATATTTTGGAGATGGCCCTATGAATCATTTTTTGGTGAAAACTATCTGTTGTGTTAACGAGACTGTTTTGATGAAATATGGTGGAACTCTTTTATTATTTTATTTAGCATCGTTAAATAAATGTTAATTCTCATTAAATAAATGTTTTTAAAACATATTTGTGCAGCTACAGCCACGGGCATTGAAATGGAGATATTTTTTTTGTAGCGGAGTGCTAACTGAAATATTTATTGGAGTATAAAAAATTGTTACTTTTTTTTCCAAATTTGAATTTGGTGTTGGATTTGGTACACGGTTAGGGATGGCCTTATGAATATATTTTGGAGATGGCCCTATGAATCATTTTTTGGTGAAAACTATCTGTTGTGTTAACGAGACTGTTTTGATGAAATATGGTGGAACTCTTTTATTATTTTATTTAGCATCGTTGACCTCAAGTGAGGTGTGAGAATTGCTCACTTTTTAGTAATTTATTTATTAAATTATGAGAACATTATCATTTTATTTAGCGAGAACATTATCATTTTATTTAGTTTTGCAGCTGGTTGTTGAAGCTATTGTGGTTAGTGCCGCAATTTTTTTTTTTTTTTTAGCTTCTGTAAATTAAATTTAAATTTAAATTTTCTTGTTTGATTGTAGAAAGGTGGAAAATGTGGAGTGCTTGTCAATGTCTGGTTGAACTGTCATATATATACATGCCAAAGGTTAGTTTGAAGATTAAGATACCTGTTAAATTGTTAGAGAAGCTGACCAGAAAACTTTCCTCACTTCCCGCAACATCTTTTTTCGACTATAATAATTTTAATTCTCATTAAATAAATGTTTTATGCTTTAGAAAGAATGTGTGTGTATATATTGTTTTCTTTTTGTTTTTCTTTTATAATTAAAGTAATGGTAGGTCTGGATTTGTTTTTAGTTTTTAAAACATATTTGTGCAGCTACAGCCGCGGGCATTGAAATGGAGATATTTTTTTGTAATGGAGTGTTAACTGAAATATTTAATTTACCCTAAAACAGTAAATATTTATAGTGCTAGTTGAAAATATGTCTATTATTTTGAATGACTTTTTAGTGCTTTTAAAACAGTAAATTTGTGTTGGGGTTCTGAAATTTATTTTGTTTTTGAAAGAAAAGAAACGGGAAAATGAGTTACTATTATTGCTTTTAAAACAATTTTGACAACTGTCCAGTGACTGATAGTGTTATTTTTTCATATTTTTTTGTTGTCTAAATTATAATTACAACATTTGAAGTTTACTTAAAATATGGGTTGTCCACATGATTTGTAAAATTATAAATATTATCTTGTAAGAATTTTTTATTTATCAAAATTAATTGTAAAAATAAATTTCTTTAGCTGTTTTTTTATATAATGATTAACCTTAAATAAAATAATTTTAAGGGTTTTGTTATAAAATAACTAAAATAATTTTAGGGTTTTGACATAAATATAATTGTTAATTGACTTGATTAATTAATAATAAGGGTTTTGTTATAAAATTAGAAATTTTAAGGGTGGGATGTAATTTTTTAAGAATTTCTTTAGCTGTTTTTTATATAATGATTAACCTCACTTGAATTATTAACTAAAATAATTTTTTGACATAAATATAATTGTTAATTGACTTGATTTATTAATAATAAGGGTTTTGTTATAAAATTAGAAATTTTAAGGGTGGGATGTAATTTTTTTAATTCTAAGGGATAAATTGTAATTTAAGCAAATTTGAAGGTGTATTTTTAATTTAATTTTATTTGTTTTGATGTAGCTAATTTAGATGTGTTTAAAAAAATTAAAATAGAAAAATTATTAAAAATCAAACAAAAGTAGAAAAAATTGTTTTAAACATAAGAAGTTTTAAAAAATTGTTTTAAACATAAGAAGTTTTAAAAAATTGTATTTGGAAAATCAAACTGTAGTTTTTTGTTGTTAGTTTTTGGTTTTAGTGATTTTTTTTTTTATAACATTTTGGTTTTAATTTTGGACTTTAGTTTCACATAATGTGAGATTCACTTTAAAAATTAAATTTTACTGTGTTTTTTTATTTATTTAATATTTTTAAATTTACTAAATACAAAATAATTCAGGAAGTTATTTCATTTTTAAAATATGGATTATTTTGTGATTTTAGAAATTATATGATTTTGATTGCTTTTTAAAAATTGAGTTTTTTTTTTTAATTTTAAATTTTTTTGTGTGTATTTTTGTTTTTAGTGGTTCTTTTAAAAATATTGTAAGTAAATTTTTTATTTTTATTTTTTTGATGTACATTATTTACACTTACAAAGAAAATATTTGTAAAAAATTATTTAGAAAATTTAATAAGAACATGAAAATATATTGAAATTATTTATTTTTGTATTTGATTAATTTTTTTAAAGATTTTTTCATAAATATTATGGTGTTAATTTTTTGTAAGAAATATTTAAAATTTTAATTAAAAATAAAAAATATGAAAAATAAAAAATTTAATTTTCTGATAAAGGGGTGTAATTTTTTGAATACAAACGAGGTGATAATTATTCTTTTGTTAGAATTTTTATTGAACATAGTTAATGTAAAAAACAATCAAATTATTGTTCTTATTGAGCATTAAAATTGTTTAAATTATTAAGGGAATTACATATTTTATATCATTAAAAAATATTAATGAACTTGATAATTCATTAATAAAAAGAGTCTTGGAAGATGAGATGTAATTTTTAGAATTATAAGGGGTAATTTGTATTTTAAATAAATGAGCATTAAAATTGTTTAAATTATTAAGGGAATTACATAGTTTATATCATTAAAAATTATTAATTAACTTGATAATTCATTAATAAAAAGTCTTGAAAGATGAGATGTAATTTTTAGAACTATAAGGGGTAATTTGTATTTAAAATAAATTTTAGGAAGTATTTGTAATTTGTTCAAATGTTTTTTTACAAATATTATTCTTTTAGATTTGCTTGGGTTATGTTCATGTGAATAAGGCTTATTAAAATTAAAATAGCTAAACCCCAAAAACTACTTTGATTACTCAAAAACTGAACAAAACTGGACTATATATA